TTCGTATTGTGTGTGTGTATATATTACTGTTTGTTGTTTACCTGGTGAACAACAAAAAAAAATTCAATTGATTTCCACTGATGAATCTATCATATGTGGATAAAATTTGCTTCTGTGGTTGTTGTTGTTGTTGTTGTTTTCTTTCAATGATAAATTTATATATATATAACAAATGCATTGGATGATGATGATTTTGATTTATAAATATTCATCATTCGAACACACAAACAGCAGACATACATTAATCATTTTATTTTCCAAATTATTAATTAGTGGAAAAAAAATTAATTATACAGAGAAAAAGATTATGATGATGATGAATGAATGAATGAATGAATAACAGAGTTATAATCTGATTATCTTGATCATTTGATTTTGTACCTGAAAATAAAAAAAAGTCTTATCATTCAAAAGAAAAATTTCAAATAAACATGTGGGTGTTGTCTTTACCATTTTGATATTAAACGATTATCATGATGTTGATGATGATCATTGTTTCATCAAATGAACGAAAAAAATTTTGTTGTTCATTATATTGTTGTCGTTGTGTTGTGTTTCTCATGATTATGATTATTTACAATGGCGCCGAATCTTTTCTTTTTTTTCTCTGCAGGTAGTCATCATCATCTTTACTTGTGATGTTTCAAGTCAACTATTATTTAGCATACACACATGGATCACAACGTTTTTTTTTTTTTGTTTTGTTTTGTTTGCTACAAGCAAACTTTGTTTAAAATTCATTTTACTTTTATGTATGTGTGTGTGTGTATGTATGTATGTATCCTCTTATCATCTTCCTGTCTTTAAGAAGTAGAATTTTTTTCCATTTCTGTATTGTGTGTGTGTGTGTGTGTGAATATTGGTTTATTTGCCTGTGTGGAAAACTTTTGATTTTCATTTTCATCAACTTGCAATTGTTTGGTTTAGCCTATTATGATTATTATAATCATTAAGCAAGCAAACAAACAATTGTCTACCCTTGTTCAATGATGCTTGCAATTGTGTCGACAATGGTGTAAAAATACGTATACATACATAGCATACATGGCCATTCTTTTTGTTTTCTTTCACATCAACCCTTTATTTTCATCATCATAATCATTAACATTATGAATAAATTTTTTTTTTTTTTGATGATCACGAAGAAAGTGAAAAAAGTGTCTGATGGTTGTTGTTGTTGTTGTTGGTTAGTGTGGTTAGTGATTGTTATTATTTTTTTTTTTCGTTTCATTCAAAACGATAATAATGATGATTATGTCTACCTTTTTTTTCAACATTGAATTTTCGTTTTTTGGTTTGCTAGTTTTTTTTGTTAGTGGTCATCATGGTGTATCTATATGTGTGTGTTTGAAAATGACTATTTCAAATGAGATAACACAAAAATGGATATTCAAGTCACAGAGAGAGAAAAAAAAACAATGATAATTTGATAATTATTTTTGGTTGTTTTAGCTGTCTTGTTTTCAACAGATTCATGTCCATATCATCAACAATAATCTATCTCTATTTGTGTGTGTGGATAGCTCGAAAGATAGATTGAAATTGAATGGAAGTGAAATTTTCAAATCTGATGATGACATTTTTTTTCGCTGTTTCTCTTTAATTTTCTCAACGATGATGATGATGATGATGATGATGATACCTGTTATCAGCCGTGTATGTATGTCTGTTTTTTTTTTTGGTTGAAGAATTTTTTCCATTTCATTTCGATTTCAGTTTTTTTTCGTATGTCAATTAACGAATTAACTGAATGTTCATTTGCAATTGTTGCCTCTGTTGTATTTATTTTGGTGCATATCGACAACGTTTATAATGATGATGGCAGCAGCAGAAAATAGCACCCAGGAAAATGAAATTTCTATCGTTTTTGTTGTTGTTGTTGTCAAAATGCAGAAAACGTAAATGGCCATATGTGTGAATGATAAAAATTTTTATCTTCAAAAAAAAAAAATTCTCGAGAATGTTCTCTCCTCACTCGCAAACATACTAACTAATATGTGTATGCTTGGAAGAACAAGTTTTTTTTGTTGGAAATGAAAAATTCAAATCTCACACAGTTGCAGACTGACCAAAAAAAAAAAATTATGTCACAGCTTGTCAATCGTTAATGAAATAGCTTCGTTTTTTTCTTCATATCGCGATGAAAAAAAAAATTTCTTCTACTTCTCTTTACCTCATTTTTTTTGATTAAAATAAAGTGATAATAAGTGACTGGACATTGTCCACACACACACACATTGAAAAGCTATGGATTAAAGATCCACCATGTGTGTGTGTGGGTTTGTGTGTCATTTTAGTGATTTTTTTCTCTCTCTCTCTCTGTGTGTATTTATTCAGCCACACCTCCGTTGAAATGAAATTTTTTGCTTTTTGATTTTGGTTTAGTCAAACATCATATCATCGGTAAATGGTCGTTGAATCGTTGAATTTTCAGTTGATTTAAAAAAAAAAAAATTTTTTTGGACTGTGTGTTGTGTGTGTGTTGATTGATTTTAATAATATTGACATTAGCCACAACCAATAACCATAGTTGGATATATACAATAGTGTGATTTGTTTGTCTTTGCGTTTTTTGTTGTTGTTGTTTGTTCTGTATGTGTGTGTGTTTTTCTGGATGCTGAATATATGTGACATAAATCTTAATCAGAAAAAACTTGGTAAAGGAAAATGAAAATTACAATAATAAACGTGTGTGTGTGTGTGTGTTTGTGTTATATTTGTCCATAAATACACGTACTTTTTGGATTTTTTTGTGAATTTTGATAATGATGGCGGAAAAATGTCACACACAAATCAAACATCAACAAATCCAATAACAATTTTTTTTGTACATTTAAAGAATTCGTCACCTGATGATGATGATGATATGGTCTATTTGTTGTCTTATTGGACATTTGGGTTTATGTGTATAACGAATGGATGATATACTTTGGTTCAAATTGAAATTCCATGTTTTTTTTTGTGTGTGTGTGTGTGGTTTTTGGATTTAAAATTGTTTTTCGTTTTTCTTTGCAAATCATTCTAAAATGGTAGAAATTTAAAATTCAATAAGGAAAATTTTTCTCTTTATTTTTTCACACTTTCGTTTACTTTTTTTTTTGTGTTTGTTTGTGTATGTGTGTGTTTTTTTTTATTTATTCAGGTATCTTGTTGTTGTTGTTGTTGTTTTTTACAGTTTAAGAAAAAAATTCAAAGATTTTTCTCCTCATTTTACACTTGGCAAAATGAACCAAGAAAAAAAAAAAAATTTTCCAGTGAAGAAATGTGATGATGAAAGTGATTTTTTTTTCAGATTATGGATTTGATGATAATGATATGATTGAAAATATGAATTTTTTGTTGTTGTTGTTGTTGTTGTTTGGTTATATAGGATGAACCATCGACGTGTTTTATTCATTTTGTCGTCATCGTCATCATCATTGGTTGTCATCCATTCATAATCATCATCATCATCATTTTATTTTAGTTTGATTGTCTTTTTTTTCTGTGTGTGTGTGTGGTGTGGCTTGCTGGCTCACTCTACTTGTGGTTTGTTTATGATTGATGCCGTCGAATCGTTTTTTTTATTGCCTTTTTTGCTATGATGTTGTTTGTCGATTATGATTATGATGATGATGGTGATGATTTGGGAGTTGCACTTAAATACATTGCACACATTGATAGAGAAAAGGATGATGAATATAAAAAGAAAAAATCAGTTTCTCTGAATAAATTGAATGCAATGAATGGAGACTCTTTTATAAAAAAAATTTTTTTTTGAATACGAAAATCTGTACTTGGAACTTGATGATGATTTTTATTACCATTTTTTTCTGTGTTTTTGAAATGGATAGATAATGAATGAACGAATAGATAAAGATAGACGCGAGCTATACTCGTGTACTCGTGTATACGTTTTCGTTAGATCAATTTTTTTTAGCCAATTTATTGGATTTTTTTTTTTGTCTAATTTATGGACAAATTGGTAATGTTTTTGTTTTGTTTTCTCTTTATTTAAATAGAAAAATGATTGATCTTGGAAATATTGAAAATCAACAAGTATAATATACACTTACATACTGTGATTCAATCAAATAAATGCGGAAAAAAATTCTGAATCAAGTAATTAATTGAAAATTTGTCACCAAAATCGATTATTGGATAAACGAACGAACCGAACGACAACAACTAGTCCAAAATCAACCAAAAAAAAAAAAAAAAATTTTCAGCATCCTGTGTTCTGTATACACATTATTTCATATCGATGATTGAAATTTTTTTCACACTACAAAACGATCACCAACACCACCAAATGCCAATGTATCATCATCATCATCATCATCGTTATTAATGTATCCTCATTTATCTCAATAATCAAATCCATCGTTTTGGACTTTTTTTTCTTCTTTTCTTGGCAAATTTCGGCATCAATTGTGTGTGTGTGTGTTTTATGTGCTTAAATTATCATCATCATTAGACAACACAATATTTGATATATATAGATGATAGACACAACAACAAAAAACTGCCGACAATAAATAACAACAACAACAACAATTTGGCCATTTTCTTCAATTCAGATTTTTTGTTGTTGTTGTTGTTGTTGTTGTCGAAACTTTAGACAAAAAAAAATCTATCCATTAATAATATTCGGGCAACTTGTTGCTATCCAAAGTTTCAATTTTTTCCTAAATGTTTGGATCATCGTATTGTTTTTGTTATGGGCGTTGTGTCGACCATGTTGTATATCGACACAACCAACATCCAAATGGTGCAATATATATTCGAATCGAATCCACTTAATCGAAACATCAACATCATAAATCATATCGACAAATTTGTCATCGATTAATTGATAAAAATCATCATCAATATTGTGTAATTATCATCATCATCATCATCATAATCATCAAGTGTGATAATCTTTTTTTTCTTCTTTCTTCAAAAAAAGTGTTTTTGCTTGTCAGTGTTTTTTTCTGGTGTATTTGTGTGTGTGTGTGTTTGTTTCATGATGAAATTTGTTTCAAATTCAATCAATTTTTTAATGATTTTTTTTGTCGAAAAAATTGTTTTGATTTGAATTAAATTAAATTGATAAGTTAATAAATATCGCCGCAATCATCGCTACAAAATTTGAACTGACCAATCATCATCATCATCATCATCATCACCATCATCTTTCATCATCGTCATCATCAAATTTATCATCAAAAACGATATCATCATTAATTATGTCAACAAACGCCGTCGTTGGCGGACATTATGGTAGTCCGCTTGATGGCAGTCAACCATCACAACCACCACCTGGTTTAGTGGTGTCTGGTCCACCGGTTGTTGATCATACGACCGGCACGGCCGGTACGATAACATCACGCCATGATATTAATGAAATATTACAACAAATAATGAATATCACTGATCAATCATTAGATGAAGCACAAGCAAGGTACGTGTGTAAAAATTTTTCGATTCTTTTCTTTATGCTAATTTGGGGAAGGGTCATGAAGGTCGATCAAACAATAATAACCAGGCTTTTTATTGATGAATACGAAAAACTCTTTTTTCCATTGTTCCACATTGCAAATTGGTTGACAAAAAAAAAGCCATACTACATCCAGGATCCAAATGTTTGGCCAATTTGTTCATTTCTCTGTTTGTGTTTCCTTTACACATTTGATTCAATTCGTTTTTCCCTCGCCTATCCTTTATGGTTGTGGTTGTCGTTTTTTATTTTCCTAAATCCGTTATCACATTATGTTCTATATTGATCCAACAAATAATAACCGCGTGATCCCCTTTCTTTTCTCTATGTGTGTTTCACTTTCGACAAAACAATATCGGTATAGTTTATACCGAGGTCAATATGGTGCTGTAACTTTGGTGGATTTGACTTTTCAGCAGCTAAACACACACACGCACACACACAAACAAATGGTCACCAATTTTGGTGATTGTTTCATTCATTCATTGTGTTATAGCCATATTTTGCATTTGAAATTAATCGTAATGAAAATTGGATTCATTTTGTTGTTGTTGTTGCTGTCTGGATAATCATCATAATTTCACATTTCCAATGTTCCAAAATCATATTTTTTGTCCGTGATGATGTTGGTGTTGAACAACAACAAACATCAAAACTAACGGCTGCAGCATGAGGTAGTAGTAGGTGGTGGTGTGTAAAAGTTTGGAATTTTCATTTTTTTTTTTTGATTCCAATCAAACTTTAGTATAGAAAAATCATATTGGTGCATTTGGTGTGTGTGTGTGTGTTTCAATAAATTTCGCTCCATTTTTTTTCTATTTGTCCAGATTTTGTGAAAACTCAGATTCGAAAAAAGAGAGAGAGAAAGAAAAAGTCCTTGGACGATTCGATATCGTCATCGTCATCATCATCATCATCATAATCGTCATATCGACAAAAAGTCAATTCTCAAAAAAAAAAAAATTTCTGTTTCTCATGCAGTTTTGACTTATTTTCAAAAAAACCAGAAAAAAAAGAAAGAAAACTGACTTTGCCTAAACATATATTGTGTATATGTATGGTGAGAGACAGTGTCAGTCAAAAAAAATTTTTGTTTTGTTTTCCATTAGTTTTATATTTTTGAAGGAAATATTGTCAAAAAAAAAATCGTCGTTTGTGCAGCTTTACAAGCGCGAGGGAGATTGACACATTGTGTGTGTGTGTGTGTGTTTGAGTTGAGTATATGTCCGGCATGGCATTTGCTTGTCACTGTCGTCGTCATCGTTCATGGTCCGACCCTATGGAAATTGGAAAAAAAAATTCGCTACACGAGTTTTTTTTCACAGTGGGAAGCGAATGAATGAATGAAAAAAAAACCGATTTTTCTCTACTTTGGCCCAGTTGCTCTCTTTTTTTTCTAGTTCTCTAATTCATTGTGTGTGTATTTGAGAGAGAGAGAGAGAAAATATGTGGACCATCTGAGGTCCCTCTATATACACATGTGTGTGTTTGTCTCAGGTTTCTTGCAAAATTTGGTTTGAATGGCGGGACCATTTTATACAATAAAATTTTTTTTTTTTTTTGGCGCGCACCATTTGGTATAGAAAAATTCAAACTGTGACTTTTATATATACCTTTCTTTTCTTGGTGCACGATATTTTCATTCTTTTGCTTGCTTGCTTGTTTTTTTTTTTTTGTTTGTGTGGCACATAGTTCCATGACCTTAAGGGTACAATTGTCGCCGTCGATGATGATGATGATGATGATGACAACAATTTTCGAATGAATAGAACAAATCAAGAAACGAATGAACACGAATAAAGAAATTTAAGTTTTTTTTTCTTCACTGATCTTGATTTTATTTTTCTTCATTTTTTTTTTGTTCTGGTTGTTATTACCATCGTTATCAAATCAAGATCGATACTGGCCAAAAAAATGGTCACAATTATCATTACCAAAATATCAACGTCGATAAAGTTTTGGTGGTTAGTTTGAATTTAAATTATTATAAAATTCAACATATGCACACACACACAATGGTTCCACCCAATCAATCGGGTATTTGTGTGGCCATTCTCATTCAACAAAATGTGTGTGTGTGTGTTTGTTGTTCCATATTCATTCAATAAAAAAATAAAATCAGCCTTGGAACATGGTGTATTTAAGGTGGTTATGTTGGCACATTTGTTGTTGTGTTTCATTTGTGTTGTTATCGAAGCAAATGAAAAAAAATGTATTTTTCTTACCATGTATTATAATGGTACAAGAAATACCAGGGAAAAGCTTGATTATTTCTTAATTACTTTGCTTCACTGGCTTTTATTGGATTTGGTGAGATTTTTTTTCTTCTTGTTAAAAAAAATTTTTTTTTTTTTTTTTTTTTTTCTTCTTCATTGAACTCGATTGATTTTTTTTTTTTTTCTGCTATTGTATTGTTTAGGTTTTTTTTTATTTTATTTTCCAATTCACATTGAACAACAAGTTTTGAGCTTTAAAATGTTGTGTGTGTTTTTTATTATTTATAACAAGATTAACTAGCGTTTGTTCTTGTTGTTTTGTTGAATCTATGTGTGATTGGTAATTTGAGATTTCTGTTTTTGGTTGTTGTTGTTGTTGTTGTTGTTGTTGTTGCTTTTGTTCATTCATTTTTATTATTCTATTACTTTCTCTTGTATTTCTGAATAATTTTTTTTGTGCGAGAATTTTTCCATTTCTCAGTTTCGGTTAGTTAAGGTCAAGTGCAAGGACGCGGCTCATTAACATTATATTTTCTTTTATATGGATAAAAAAAAGATTCGAATGACCATTTTTTTTTTTTTACACATTGATGACAATTAGTGCCACTTGACTTTTTGTGTTTTCAAAAAATTATTATTGACGATGAAAAAAATCCATTGAAATTTATATCATTCTCTCACCATCCAATTGATGATGATAGGTTTCAATCGTCAAATTCTGTTTCATTGACAATAACAACAACAATAACAGAAAGAACCACCACCATGGGTGGTGTGTTTGGTACTTAGTAACGATATATTGGGTGACAATATTTTTCTTTTATATCAGAGGTCATGATATATTTTTTTTTTCTCTAAACATCTGTTGCTTTTCAATATTTTTCACATTTCAAATATGTTCCAAGGTTACCCACTACCATTAGCCATTGGCCACGACAAGCATCATTGCCCATTTTTTTTTTGTTTGTTTGTTTGTTTGTTTGCTTCATTTGTAAAAAAACTCGTTCATCATTCGCTTATTTATGAATGGTAAAATTATTCATTATTTATATGAATAATTTTCAATGAATTCATTCACTTGTTGTGTTTATATTTTTGTATCCTGCTGCTGTGTTGCTATCGTATAATGGTATCTTATTATTGCGTTGGTGGTGGTTGTGGTTGGCGTTGTGTGACATCCATATCAATCGTATTTTTTTTCGCTAGCTGATTATGATTGAGATGGATCGGTTTTTCGTTTATAGCTTAGTCAGTATTTTTTTTTTTTTCGTTGAATAATGTGTTTGATTCATTCGAAACACTTGTTGATATTGTAGGCGTATTTATATTATTCCAATGATGATGATGATGATGATCATCATCATTCTTATTCTGATTCGGTTGTGTTGATTTGTGTCTGTTTGTTTGTATCAAGAATGATTTTTTTTTTTTGCTTTTCACGCCCAATTAGCAATGTTTATTGATGATCTGTCGTATTATGGTGATGGTAAATATTTTTCAATGTTAAAAGAATATTCTTACGTCGTCTTCTTAATAATAATAATCAGTGTCATCATACCGATGATGAATTGATGTTTTTGATGATGATGATTGTGTGTGTGTGTGTGATGACAATCGGTGTGTGTGCGTTACGAATAATTCATTTTTTTTCGAGCAGCCAATTCTTTTCATTGGTTATTGTTTGGTAAAAGAATTTTTCTTTATTTTTTCATTTTTAACACTGTTTTTCTCATCAGATTTCTATTGTCACATTTGTTCAGTGATCATCATCATCAAATATATAAATGAATGATGATGGATTTGGCATGAAAATATTCATCATTGATGTGTGTATGATCGTCATCTTTCGTTTTTATTCTTGCACATCGACATTGTTCACAGATTTAGATTATTCAGGATTTTTTCACTTGTTCATCAACTTTATTTGTAAATGTGTACGTGTGTGTGTGTATTTAAGGATCAGATATCAAGATTTGGCTTATGATGTGATATTTTTTTTTGTTCGTCATTTCGTTTAGTTTTGCGATTCAATTTGATGATAGTGCGAATGGTGTACATACAGAACAACATTTAAAAGTGTGTGGTTAAGAGACATTCCAATCCTCCACATTTCTATGAAAGAAAGGAAAAAATGGCAACCAAAAAAAAACACAGAGAATGAAATGAACCTCGAATTTGAAATGAAAAGATTACTGGTTGAATGAAGAATGAACCAAAAAAAAAAAAAAGAGAAAGTGATTCTTACGCAACCGAATTTATTCCTCTTTTTTTTTGTATGTCCTATGTGTGATTCTGGTTCATTCACCATTTTTTATTCTTGGTTTGTTTTTTTCGTTTTGTTTCTTATGAAAGAAAAAAGTTTGAGGAACAAAAATGTTTTTAGTTGTCGTCATATATTGATGATGACAAGTGGTGAACAAACAAACAAACAAACAAAAAATGTTACAATTTTTATACATTTAAAAATACACATTTTACCCGCCAAATGATAACTGTGAATATTTATTCTTATTGGGTAGAAAATGTGATGGTAGTAAATACCAAGCACCGGGCTAAAGAAGAAAAAAAATGGTGATGAGATATCGCACTCAGTGGCTGGCTGGCTGGCTGAATAAGGCAAACGACCAAAAACTACACACTTGACGATTCTCATCTCGACAATTTTGTAGCCAAAAAGAAGAAGAAAAAAAACTGAATTTTCAAACTTTGCAAATTCTCTCTAGTTATTTTGATGATGCTAAATTTAGACAACATTTTAAGGGAGTTTTAGAAAAGAAAGAAAAAGATTTTCTGTTTTTTTTTCTTTTTTTGGTACATTGTACATGATTTGTTTGTGAGTTGCAGTTTGTTGAATTTTTCGTCATCATCATCATCATCCGCAACCAACCATTGGCCTGTGCCACCAGAATAGTTTTTTTTTGTTTTGTTTCTTCTTTGGTTATTCTCATGGATCTTTCTCACTGATCAAGTTGACACTTTTTTTCACTAAATATTCCTAAAAATACACATAAATAAATATGGCTAATCAACCAATGCTTGTTGCTATGTTGTCAAACGGATGAGATAGTAAGATTGATGGGATAGCAAAAGTGATCACTAAAGATCATCAGATAAATTTAGACAACATTTTAAGGGAGTTTTAGAAAAGAAAGAAAAAGATTTTCTGTTTTTTTTTTTTTTTTGGTACATTGTACATGATTTGTTTGTGAGTTGCAGTTTGTTGAATTTTTCGTCATCATCATCATCATCCGCAACCAACCATTGGCCTGTGCCACCAGAATAGTTTTTTTTTGTTTTGTTTCTTCTTTGGTTATTCTCATGGATCTTTCTCACTGATCAAGTTGACACTTTTTTTTCACTAAATATTCCTAAAAATACACATAAATAAATATGGCTAATCAACCAATGCTTGTTGCTATGTTGTCAAACGGATGAGATAGTAAGATTGATGGGATAGCAAAAGTGATCACTAAAGATCATCAGATTTCTTTATTTTTCGTTTTTTGTTTTATGGTTTCATCCGTCATTGATGACGACAATTAAGCATCATATCAATTTTTCTCGGTCTTGGTGCATGTGTGTGTGAACCAAAAAATTCAACCATGTGTGTGTGTGCCCAAGAAACAACACACATTGACTTTTGATAAAAGTCCAGATTTTGTTTTTGTAGATTTGAAAAAAAAATCTGGTCAATACTTTGATGAATTTCGTTTTGCATTCACTTTGTTTTTCAATTTCTTGGTAAATTTATTAATTACAATTATAACAATTATAATATGGTCTTCATCAGCAGTTTATCTGGATTTTGTGTTTTTCCGTAATTTTTATTTGATGTTTGATGATTGAATGATGATGATGATGATGATTATAATTGATATATATTTGTACTATAAATACAGATGTGTGTGTGTGTGTATTTAATATTTCAAGGATGATGTTGATGATTATGATTATGGTGAATGATGATGATGATGATGATGATAATGTAGGAAACTATATTACCCGTTTATATGCTAAGGATATTATTATTTGGTGATGGGCTGAGTTATTGTTAGATGATGATGATGGTGAGAATTTTTTCTTGTTTTTTTTTCTTGATCTTTTTAATTAATTATTATTATAACCAAGTGTTGATAATGTCAACAATTTTATCATTCTTTTGTTGTTATTGCTGGTTGTTGTTGTTGTTATCATTTTTTTTTTCGTTATAGTTATTGTATATGTGTGTGTGAATCCTTGATACTTTTTTTTGGCTAATCCATCATCATCATAATCATCATTGTGTTTTGTTGGTTTTGGGGGTATTTATCGTTGGAGAGAAATTTTTTTTATTTTTATTTGGCATCTGCCTACAAGGCGTTTTCATCATTCATTTTAATACCTGTGGATTTTAATGTTTTTTTACTTGATACAATAATCAAATAGAACGAAAAAATGAAACCAAAATTTGAATTGAAATGAAAATGAAAAAAAAATTCATGATTTGCTCATTGTCGACTGTCGTTGTACTCATAATGATGATGATGATGATTTTTTTTTCGCTTGCATTGCATCTATTTTTGGCTTTTTAATACACACACACAAAATGAGACAGTCAGAGAGTGAAAAAGCACAAAATTTCACATTACCACCGCTTAATGTTTGTATGAAATTTTCGTTTTTTGTTTTGTTTTATTTTGTTTTTGTTTTTCCATTGCAAAATTTTTAAGGAGAATTTTTTTTCGTTGTTGTTTTTATTGAAGAAGAATTGAATTGAAAAAAAAATTCGATACTAAATGTAAATTCTGTATACACACCATGTACACACACATGCATTTTTTCTGAATGAAAACAATTCCAGATTGTGTTGAGCCAACTTGTGGCTTCAGAGAAAAATTTATCCAGCAACAACAGCAAAAAAAAACAAAACAAAACAAAACAACATCACATTACATTTTGTGTATGTGTTTTTGAATGAAATTTTCGATATGATGATGTTGGTGTTTATCATATATATGGAAAAAGAATGAAAAACACAATGGTTATGATGATGATGATGATGATGATGAGCAACATTATAATGCATATGTTGTGGATTCTTATTTTTGGATGTTATTATACACACACACACACACATAAACAACAACAACAAACACACAGAGATTGAGAATTACAAAAAAAAAGTTCATTTGCGTTTACATATTCTTTTCATTATTTGTGATTATTATACAATTTTGTGTGTTTAGGTTTGAAAATAATGATGAAAATGTGTGCGTGTGTGTGTGTGTGTGTGTTTAAACCAATGGAAAAAATTTAAATTCAAGAATATTCAAGTTTTTTTTTTCTTTCTGTGGATAATTTGATGATTTTCGGTTTTTTGTTTTGTTCGTTTGCAAAATATATTTTTCTTCTTTCTACTTCGTGTGTGGTGTTTGTTTTTGGTTTTAAACCATTTTAAAACCATTTTTGAGAGAATGGAAAATCTTTACGAAACACACACACACACACACACACACACACATTATATGAACGTGGTTACGAATAAATAGCTCGAACGAACAAATCACATTCATAAGAATCCATTCCGCATCAAAACATTTATGATTGTTGTTTGTTCGTTTGTAGATTCGTTTTCCGTTTTACGCTTTTTTGATCGCTTCATTGTTTGTTTATTATATGGCCACGAAGAAGAAAAACATTTGAATGATCGTTACAAACACTACACAGGCAAAAAAAAACAGGACCGACCGTCATGGAACGGTAACGGATTTTCGTTTCTGTGGCTACAGTTAACTCAATCGGAATAAGTGTTTTTTTTGGCTGGATACTACGTTTTTTATGATCATTTTCTTTGTTCCACACACGCCACATTAAATAGTAGTAGACAAACAAACACAATAAACAGTGGAAATTGATTGAAAATCGATTGAAATGTTTGCTTGATTTAACATTAAATCAAAACACACACACACATACACAGTGTCTATAAAACTGAATTAACCTAATAATCATCATTATCATTAAATCCATAACCCCATTCATCGATGATGATGATGATGATGATCGACCTTTTTATTCAATTAAATATAACCTTTTAAATCTTATTGAAATTCCCAATTGAACTAATTTTTTTTTCTTTTCGTTTTACAAAAAAAAAAAAACACAGGAAACATACGTTATATTGTCATCGTATGAGACACGCGCTCTTCAGCGTCCTCTGTGAGATTAAAGAGAAGACTGGTGAGTATTTTTTTTTCAATTTCATTTTCTCGTTATTTATTCAGCATATTACACACAGACACACAAAAAAAATTATTTGTTTTTATTACTTATAAATGAATGAATGAATATGCATATATAAAACCTTAATTTATCCATCATCCATCCAAAGAGATTCTGTTTAGTTTCGCTATATTAAAGATGATTATTATATGGATGAACAGAATCCATTAGTCTAATAATAATGATGATGATGATGATGATAATGGCGATCCATTAGGCAATTTTTATGTTATTATACAGACTTTGCTTGCATATATATGGACAAATAAGATGTTATAATTCAAAATCAAATTGTACAACGAAATTAGTCGTATGTTGAGTTAGAATCGATCAATGATTATTATCAAATGGTCGAAATGAAAATCGAGTAATTGAACATGATTGAGTTACCAGAAAACTAGTGAGAGAGAGAGAGAAAGAGATGGCCACATGAATGTATTTATTTGTTCTCGATGGATATTGATCGATAATTTTTTCTCTGCATTCATCATTTCTGTTGTTTTTCTGTGAATATTCATTCATTTGTTCATTGTTTTTTTTTCATATTAATCAGGTTTTTTTTTTTTCTTCTGATCGTCATTAGACATGCCAACAACGGTGAACAGTGTTCACAAATATGGCACATATTGACATTCCTGAAACTTATTGAAACGAACCAGAATGTTCATCATCACATACTGCTGTTGATGGTGACAATAATTCTGGAATTTCTGGAATGATTATTTGTGACCTTTGTGTATGAATCAGTGGTATTCAACAAATTCTTCATTCTACGGTTACCAATGGTTGAAATATCACTTGATGATTTTTTTTTTTTTGCCGAAAAAGCCAAAGAATTTTTTTTTTGCTATACACATTTTGTGTATACAAGGCCGTATCTATTTCAAACCATTCAATGAACCTTGTTCATTCTATCTATCCATATCCAAATGGAAATTCATGCATAATAATAATTCCATACATAGCATCGTATCGATAATTTTTTTTCTCTCTCTCTCTCCAATTTCATCATCATTATACAAAGCCATTGTCGTAAATTGTCATAGTTTGCTTTTCACATTCACTATGTGTGTGTGTGTGTGTGTGCAATGTTTGTTTTTGGATTCGTGGATTCTCTTTTTTCGTTTGCATACAACAACAAAAACAACGACAACGACAACGATGATGATGATGATGATGGTCGATAGTATTATGCAGATTATCCTTTGTAAACATTATTATTATTATTATTCGAAAATATTCTCTCTACTAGAATATTTCCATGTTTTTATTGTTTCTCTTTATTCTTTATTCTGTTTGTTTGTTTGATATGATCGTTGTCATCATCATCATCATCATCAAAATTTTCCATCATAGTAATTAGATTTGTATTCTTCTGTGTTTATTCAGGATTCTTTTTAGGCTGTTGTCGTTGTTGTTGTTGTTGTTTGATTCTTGCTTTTATTTTTGCTTTCAAAATAAAACATACACACACGCATAAAAAGAGATGAAAAGATCTGGTTATTTTTACTTTGGTGGATTGTCGATATCATATAATATTGTTGCTTGTTTGTTCCAGGAAAAAAATCCACATCTATTCATCGTTGTTGTTGTTTGATGGTTGGTTGGTTGTTCGCTCGGATGATCCGAATAAATTCTGTTGTTTGGTTTTTGTTTTTCGAGGCTCATCATTTCTTTGGTCGGTCCGTTATAGCTGATGTGTGTGTGTGTTGTCGTTGTTGTTGTTGTTGTTGTTGCTGCTGCTGCTGTTGGATCGATGCGACTCGTTTTAGTTTGATTAAATTGTCTATGTTTGTGTATGGATGTCGTGTTTTTTCTTGTTTCATTTTTCTGGTTAGTGTTGTATGTGAAGGGGACATGATTTTGTTAGTCACAATGTTGAAACAGTGTGAAACAAGACAGAAAAAATTCTATCTCGAAAATTGTGTTCAATTTTTTTCACTATCTGGTTTTCTTGTTCGTTCAACTCTTCTTGTTGGTTGGTTGTTCATTCTTGAATCCACACCATTGCCATCATCATCATCATCATCATGATGATGGAATCTATGGTTTTTTCATGTTTTTCAGAGATTGCCAATGTTGCCATTATCTGGTCGCTGTGTCGTTGTTGTTGTTGTTGTTGTTGAGCAGCTCATTTTTTTCGTTTATTCATTCAACCAGTCAAACGAATTGGACTGCTTTTTTTTATCTCTTTGGTCTTTGTTTTCACTGTTTTCTTTTGTTTTTTTCCCTTAGCGATTGACGTTTATGTTTTTGTTGTTGTTTTGTTTTGTTTTCACAGTTTTTAGGTTTTCATTTTGAACAAACGACGATGATGATGATGATGATGATGGCAAGAAGAATCTGAACCAGAACAAAAAAATACTTGCAACTGGAGAAACAAAACAAACTTATCTTGTTTGTAACTTTTTTTTTCTCGTTTCTCCAACACACACACACACATGCATTGATCTTTTGGCACATTTTTCTTTTCTTTTGTTCTTGGTTCAGTTTTTATTTTTTTTTTTTGGCCAACTTATTTTGCAAAGACAAGAAAAAAATTTTCGTTCTTTTTTTTCGTTTCTGGAATCAAGTTAGAGAGAAAGAGAGAGAAAAGTCAAGATACATTTAGTTTGATTGATTGTTCGCCCCGTGTGTGTGTGTTTGTTGGCCAGAATGTTTTTCTTTAACGGCAACAGCAGCCAGTTTGTCCTATTATATTGGGTTGGTCAAGATAATTTTTTTTTATTCTGTACATAATTGCAATCAAATCGAATCGTCCAAATTCTTTTCCCGATTCTGGATTGTTGAATATGATGGAAGATGATGATGAAGAAGAAGAAGAAAAAAAACGCAAAATGAATTACGACAAAAAAAACAAATTTTTTTCTTTTGGTGTCGACGTAATCATTTACAGCTGGTGGTGGTGGCGGTGGTTTGGTAGAAATAGTGGATCCAATTTTGGACCAATTTATATCTTTGGTCCACACACACACACACACCCATAGGTTTCTCGTCCTTCATTCATTTCATTTTTTTTGCCCAATTTTCCTATAGCAAATGTGTCAATCAAACTTTAATTTTATCTTTTTGTGCTACCCAACACAACATCAGTGTTTCATGATTGTGTTTGGTGGTGGCTTATTAAACCCAGAAAACAAAAAATTTTTTGGAACTTTGTATTTTTGTTGTTGTTGTTGTTAGATCCAGACGTGTGTGTGTGTGTGAGAGAGAGATAGAATTTATATAGTGAGATATTGTATATGCGTCACATGGCCACATTTCTTCATTTCTCCACTTTTTACAATAATCTCAGACTCTCATCTCACATTCACATTCACATTTCATTTCATTCCATTCTCTTGGGTAGTTTTGCATCAAGTTTTCATTCTAAAATAACCCAAATAGAGAGCGAGAGCATCCATACACACACACAAACTGGCTGTAGTTTAGAAATGGAAAGCTTTTAATTGTTTTTTTTTTTTTCATTCATTTTGGTATCAAACAGAATGAAAAAAAAACGAAATGAAATTTTTTTTTTTTAGCCATTTGGAACCTTCCCAGCTTAGTGTTTGTTGCTAGTAGCTACAGCATAGATACAGCATCAGCAGCAGCAGCAGCAGCTGATTCTATCTTTATCTTTTATTCTTCATTCAGACATTTTTACTTTGAATTCTATATTCTATCCTTTTTTTTCGTCGTGTGTGTGTGTGTGTATGGTAAACTCTTGAGTACAATTAAATTTTTTTTTTCATTCATTTATCCTACTTTTATTCACTGTGTGTGTGTGTATGTCTATCTCATTTTTAATTTTCCCTAATTGATTTTAGCCCTTGTGTGTGTGTGTTTCATTTTCGTTTGAATTTGGTTTTAATAGCAGCCAGTAATATTTTTCTATTCTCTAGATTCTCTAGAACTAGATTCACTGTTGTTGTTTTCATGGAATGGATTCTTCTTCTTCTTCATCGATGTTTGGTGTTGGTGTTCATTCTGTTCATGTGGAATTCTTTGTTTTGTTTCCAAAAAAACCCCGATCTATCTATCTGTCTATCTTTTTTTTTATCTACATCTATTCTTATCTATCTCTTTTTGAATATACATTGAATCTTTTTTTTTTTTTTTTATTATTATTTCGCTTTGTTTTATTTTGAATTGAATTTTCATTCATTTTCAAATGGGAAACAAAAATCATTGTTTTGTTTTGTTTTGTTTTGTTTTTGTTCTGTTTCAAGCAGTAACAATAACAATCAAACTTTTTTCAAATGAATTGATATTATCATCAACATCATCATTATTATCATTTAATAGAAATTTTTTTCTTTCTGTTGAATCGCTAGCCTTTTTTTTAGTTTCTCTTTTTGGTTATTCTTTTATCACCAGAATCATATATGATGATGATGATGATGAGAATTTTGAATTTGAATTTTTTTTTCCTTTCGCCTTTTGTTTTGATTTTACTGGTTGGTTGGGTTGTTCGAATGATGTGGTGGTGGCAAGAGGGGGTGACCTTTTCTATACGGAATACGGATTGCCTGCTGGCATTGTGGTGGTGGTGATGGTGGTGGTGGTGGCCACACAAACACACAATAACCTGATGGTTTGCTTGTTTCAATATTTGATTCATTTCATTGATAACTTGAACAATCATCATTTTGTGTTTAGAAAAGTTTAGTTTTTGTTTTCAAAAAAAAAAAATTAGACGAAGATTCATTCATTGATTCAAACAATAAATCGAATCGTGGGTCTTTTTCTTTCTTTCATTGTTAATCATATATTTTCATTATCATTCGGGTTACCATTTTTATCCAATCATCAATTCATTGAATGAATTAAATGAGACAATTAATGGCAAGTAGTGAAAAAGAAAAGTTTTCATTTTCGTTCGTTTTTTTTGTATTTTTAATCAATTTTTTTTAAAAATTTTCACATTGATTCTTCGGGCAATAATTTTTCATCATTTCAACATTGAATTTTGTCTG